TGGGGGGGGGGGGGGTGAAAAATCAGACATTAACTATCAAGTCATCCCCCTTCTTGATATTTTGTCTGGAACAGAAAGACAGACTATAATCAATCTTATGTCTATTTGATGTTGTTTTAACGCAAATAGTTTCATCAGTGGCTTGAAAATCAAATATTTAAAGGGACTCTTTGCGTAATTTCAAGTTACGTTCAATTTAAAGAGCTCCATCCCCGATTCACAGCAGTGCCCTTATAACCCTTGACTGATCATCGAGGACAGAGATCTCAGTTTATATATCTCTTAAATGCTGTGTAAAAAGCCGTAAAATTTGTTCAAAGTTAATTGGACCATTCAAAATCATTAAAGTCGTCTTCCTTTTCACAGTTTTATGGGTCTCACTGTAGTACAAATATCAAATGTCCAATTCGAATTTTTAACTGTTCTCTGTTTCTAGTTGAGTGTACCAGTACAGGGAGGAGATGGTAATGTTGTTGAGTTCTGTGTATCCAAGTGGTGGGCAAACCTAGGAAATATAGATGTCAAATATACAATCAACTTTCACGGGGTCCTACCGAGCCAACGTGAGTAGATACTATATATAGTTATATCATTTTTATAGAAATATTAAACCTTTTTAAAGTTTCCTTTTTATTTTTATTTTTACAAGAATTTTACGCATTTAACAAAATCGGTTAGTTGCTGAAGAAAATATAGATATTTATCTGTCGCAAGTGTTTCCCTGATATTTGTTATCTAGGAGAAATTATGATGCATGGTGGAGAAGGTTTGATGAGACTAGATCTAGTCTCTAGGATCAGTCTAGAGGATATTCAACCGGAAATTAAACTTAAATCTGCAGTTCAGGTATATTTAATTTTCTTCCTGTCTTCATCCACTTTCATTTCTTTTTACTTTTTTATGAATCAGATGAATCTAAAGGTGGGTCACTTATACACTAGACGGAGGCTTAGCCGGTATCAGTTTGGGAAGAACTGATGCACGAGACCGATTAAGCCTAGGAATCTTAAACTCGCGGATATTAGACACAAACGTTTCGTGGTGTGATAAATCCACTTCAAGCCGCCGTGTCTGCATACTGCATTTTTAATCAAATCCGTTGGAAAATTATTTTGGTCGCCGTCGTAAAATCTACAACCCCTGTGACCGGCCTTTTTTATATTGATTTGTTTTCTAATTTGTTAAACATATATTAAATGTTCATGGTATCGATGTGTTAAGGTTCTACGACCGACAGAGAGTAAAGTAGTAACTCTTGGTTCCCGGGATATCCTTCCTCCTGCTCGGCATACATTCGAGCTCCAGCTCTTCTACACAATATCTGTTCCTAAATCTACAGAGATTACTCCGAACCTACCGATGCTCTCAGATGTTCTCTACGAGAGTGAGATAGAATCCCAGCTCTGGATGTTGTATGATTCCAACAAGTGAGTAACTTGATGTTCCGGACATATCTATCCGTAAACGTAATTTCAAGTGACCTCTTATTTAAAAGAGGACCGAGTCCGATTCACAACCCTTTAAAGTTTTGTATAGTTGAAAATGAATGAGATATCCAAGTTTAAAAATTCATCATTTACAAGTGTTGTTTCTTTACTAAAGTTACTTTCACATATATTATGGGAGGACGGTGTCAGAATTAAACACTTATTAAGCTAGAAAAATAGCAATATCTTCCTCACCCTTGATCCGATAAAGGTTTTAAAGTACCATTGTGAATCGGACATGCATGAATATAATCTAATCCCTGTTGTGTCCAGGAGACTGGTTGGGTCCGGGGACGCCTACCCTAGTAAGTGGGGATTAAAGGTGGAGAAGGGAGAATATACTCTCCGGGTTCATATTAGACAGGAGAAACGAGATCTTCTGGACAGGTTAGATAAATACTTGGTCAGGGAAAATATGGTTAGACGAAAAGAATGATACTTTAATAGCGACCTAAAACTAAAATAAAAAAACATGGAACGTTGAATTTGGTTTTGTTCTTTAAATTAAATAATAAACTGTTTGATTTGATTTGTTTTGATTTGATTTGATTTGATTTGATTTGATTTGATTTGATTTGATTTGATTTGATTTGATTTGATTGTCTTATAATCGTATACTTATTGATTTGGCAAAGAATGAAATAAATGTACATTGACAGGGAATCATTAATTTATAGAAAAATAAAGAATACATTTTGTACAGCGTCTATGAAGTCTAATTTGTTGGTAACCTTGGACAATTAACCCTTTCCTTAATCTATGGTGTAAAATATATTTGAAAGCTATTTTTTTATTTTGGATTAAAAGGAATCTCTCTTTTTTTAACTTTAAACTTTTGGTGTAAAATAAGCCCTTTCTATTTATAAAAGTATTGTAATGGGTTTTTTTTCTATTTACAGAGGCTTAAATAATATTTTTTGAAAATGCTTAATTTAGGTTTACTGAGACTCCTCTTCTACTTTCTTCCAAATTATCTTCAGCAGTTTCCCTGGATGTTTATTCATCCCATTCAGAGGCAGTAGGTTGGTCTTCTACAGGGAGAACCAGAAAATTGTTGCATTAATGTCGTCTTTGTTCCTCGTTTAACTAAAGAACGAAGTCTAAGAAAGAAGACGACATGAATTACGCTGTTTTTTGCTTTGTTCCTTCTGTAAGATACATGGTGAAATTTTTAAATAATTGTTTTGAACTGAGAAACCATAGTGCAAAATCTACCATCTGTATGACGGAGCAATCCCTGCATTATGATATTCATATTTATCTTGATAAAACGGCATTTTCTACTTTCAATTAAATTAACATAATGGTTCTTGGTTACTAGAACCTTCAGTGCAAATCTATATCTATATTTATATCCATATGAGGATGTATATCTGTTTTTTTTATTGAATAATTAATTGATGATATCCATATATATGTATAAATCGGCCCCCATATAACAAGTAATGTCAGAACAACTAATACACTCTTGATAGGCTGTGGTAATTTACACCTCTGGACTCCATGATCCTGCCACACCTCCTGGTGGTATCTCTCCATTATCTGTTTTGGAGGCCGCGGGGGGGGGGGGGCTTAAGTGTGGTAAAACCCGTGGACGATCGGGGTCTTCCAAATTTGGGGGGCTTTCAGATTTAATCTCTTTATCGTTATATATTAGATAATGTTTAGTTGGTGGGAAGAAGATGAGTGTGTGTAAAGGATATCCTGGTAGATCTATACCTATTTATATATCTCCGCTCTCCTCAGATAAACATACCAAAGGTTCATCATTAGGACAGTATTTACAAGGCACTGCTACTTTTGCTAAGGTAATATTTTGCATTTTTATGTTGTTTTTTTATTCAAAATACCAATCAATTATGTTAAATCATGTTCTAGTACTAAAAAAGCTGATTTTATCGTCTGTATAGTGCTTAGGATCCGGATTCTTTGGATCCTCAATATTTTGGCTTCCTGGATCCTGATCCGCAATCCAAGGGGGAAAATATTAACCAATGTTTACCAAAACGTGTTTAAACTTTGCTCTCAGAACACTAATCGCAACTGTAAAAAGTGAGAGTTTATAAAAAATTTCCTAAAAAAGATGAAACAAATTAGGAAATTTTTATCTGCTGAAAAAAAAAACCCAGTAAATCTTAAAGAAATGTTAATGACCTGAATTCGGTTCCGCATCAAAATTAAATGGATCCTACGCACTGATCGTATTTATGTATTATACAGGTTGTCCCAATAAACATGGGAATACAGTGACGAATTCGATATCGTCTTTTTAAATAATTCTTTGATTTAGTATAGTGATACCTACTGAGAAAGCTGTGATCTGTAAGATTTGCGTCTGCTATGTTCACAATTTGTTTGTTTATGTTTTGACTGTACACGATTGTACTTAGTAAAACAAGAAAATTACAAGTTCAGAGTAATCTTGTCCGTCTTCACTGTTTATCTAGCGGAGACATTATAGACACATCTTTGAAGCCATTTACCGTTTTCATAAAATAAACTCTAGCAGACATAAGAATATTATGACTTTTGAAACTAGGCATTACACTGCTAATTCATAACAAAGACGATATCGAATTTGTCACTGAATTTCCATGTTTATTGGGACACCCTGTATGTACTGTATCGTATTTTATCTTATATTTAGGATGAGCAGGGTAAGAAGACGGATGTATATCAGATAAAATATATCCTGCCTGAACCCATGAAGAAGAAGGATAAGAGCAAGGATGGAAAGAAAGCTAAGACGGATGATTATGAGTCCTATAAAGATTCTATCAAGGATTCAAAGATTGCCTGGTTGAGTAAACTTCCAGCTGATAGTATTCAGACTAAGGTTAATTTTTAATGACATTAGACAAAAGATGAAAACTATTCGTCATTTCGATTAATCGTTTTATTTATATCTTTTCTCAGAGAACAAAGGAATGGATTCTTCGCCATAAACTCAAATTTTCTAATTCCTATATCTTTACAACCAGAGGGTGTAAACCTTTGATATTTCAAACTTGGTTTATTTGATCTAACAGAATTCAAAGTTTGAAATATCTAAGGTCTAAGACATTGAGTTGCAAAGATATAGAGATTAGAAAATTTAAGTTTGTGGTGAGAAGACTCAATTCCTTTGTACTCTGATTGAAATTTTAACTCTGAAGCAAGATTGTATCAGGTCAAAACTAAAAATTAAAACCTGTTAAATTTATCAATTTTTTGCGTTCTAAAGTGGGGGACAGGGCTCAAGTTTGGTCGTGGACTGGAAATTTTGCTAAATGAACTCCAGGAGCCGGAAGAATTAAAACTCTTGATTGTGTTCGTCTAAGGCCATCACACCAGCCAAGATTTGATTTGATTTAATCGAACATTTCGATAAATCGTTTTGATTTATATCGGGATAGTGTGGGACATTATTCATGGATAGGTTTAATATACAGGACCATTGGGACATATCGGACATATCGGGACATTATTCATGGATAGGTTTAATATACAGGACCGTTGGCCCCAACTTGATAATATGACAGGTTGTCTTTTAATAAGAATATCTTTTCTCCAAGTACAAACTTAGCAATAAAAAATCCTCTCTGTGCTTTATTTATTTATTGCTAACTAACAGAGAGGAAGATCTCAAAGTGTTGCGGAGATTTATAAGTAAAAAATTAATTTTAAAAATAAATTATACAACTATGCTCATTTTCAGATGAGGATATTTGAGAAAATTGTAGGTTTTTTGCATAAATAAATCATTATTTTTGAAAACAAATTGAATTGTTTAGGAATTGTACAGTGAGCTATGTACAGAAGGAGTATCGTTGACTAGTGTACATGCAGCTAGACTCCAGGGACTAACAGGAGCTGAGAACAAGGATTGGAACGAGATTCTAGCAACAGCAGATAAGGTAAAGTAAAATTTGAAATTCTGTTTCTATACATTCTTTGGAATGTATAATCTATCCAAAGAAATAAAAACAAACTTCTTTTTCCGAATAAATGTATTTTAAAAACCGTTTTATCTCGTAAATTTTGTAAAGATGAAAATATTTCTAGGGGTTGTGGACATTAGCTGAAAGTGTTTTTTTTAAGTTTGGGACTTTTGATGCTTTTGACCAAAATATATAATTTATTGTCACAAAGAAATAAAGTTTTGATCCGGCAAAGTATTACAAAAAGTGAAAATATTACCACTTGGTAAACGATTCAGCTTAGATTTGTCTTATGTCTTCTATTCAAATCAATATTTTAACCTTTATGTTTAATGTTTATAGGGAAACTTGTCCAATTCACGACGGCACTTAAACCCCTTTACCTTATCAACCATGAGGAAGATATTGTCGATTTACTATCTTGAAAAGCGTTGAATTGTAACAATTTTCATCATTGTCTAATGTCTATACTGCATAAATGCGCAAGTCACTTTTATAGAGAAACCACGATTGAAAATTATACTTTTGTAGAAAAACAAGTATATCTAATTCACTCGTTATCAGATAAATGTTAAAAGAATACCATTGGGAATCAGACCTGCCACTTTATGATTGAAGGGTCACTTGAAATTACATATACAGTCCCTTTATTACAGTTGATTGGTTGTGTGAACCAAACTGAGCTGTTGGCCTGGTTGGGAACGAAGGCGGATACACGGGACAACGCTGCTGATGTAAAGAAGGATATGGAGAAGATGAAAGGACAGCTGATTGATGCACTAGCAGCTAAAGGAGAAGCACTGCTTAAAGGTCAGGGTCATTTTTAAATTTTTGTGCAAATACTAGACTCTGGACTGCCAAGGCGATTTGCGTCCCTCTCTATTAAAAAAATGAAATTTTCCATTATACTTGTTTGCGAGCATTTTCTAATAATCATTTTGAAAGCATAGTATTATTAGATTAAAATTAGAAATTATAAAATTGAAGAGATCTAAAATATTGTTGATCAGAGTTTGGAACGTTTGTCTGGAGTATCGTTAATCTTGAACGCTTGATCTCTTTATCCAATGTGGACACGTTTGAATTTGAGGATAACTGCGTAACTCCTCACTCTTAGTTAAAATCATCCCTGAAGGAAATAACCACCACGAGATATTGAAGAGGAATTAAATTAACCCATTGGACTGTTTAAGATTGAGATCAATGCTTGATTCCGAGATTCGTAAAACAAAAGGTTCTGTTTTAAAATCTCCAAAAATAGTTTTAGCCCGTTCGGATCAGTCGTTTCACCATTTATTGGAAAGTTACCCATTATGCCAGACAATTTTATATTCTGATAATATTTCTGTCTAGTTGGAGGGGAGAAGAACGATGAACTGTCCGAGGTTTATACTAACATAGTTAAATATTGCGATCCAACAGATACAAAGGTACTTTTTCTTATATCAAACTTCAGAATCAATTATTAGGATAATTTTTAGATGGATAAGAATCCGTCCTGATTCAGTTAACAAATATTTCTGTCCGTTTTTGATATTTTTTTTTTTTTTCTGCTGTTATAAATGAGGAATCCGGGAAAATTTACAATTCTCTCATTCGCCAACAATGCAATTAAGATTATTTATTTGAGACAAAAAAATGTTTATTTTGGTTGATATCCGGTTCCGGATACAGGTGGGCAAAATATGGATTCGGAACCTACGCACTGGCCTTAATCATATTTATATTGTGTAATATTTAATTCTGTTTTGTAGGTGATAGGGTTTGTTGTTGGATACCTTATACGACTGGAGCTTTATGGGAAAGCGCTCAAGTAAGTACTTTTTCAGATTTTCATAATACTTTAATTTTAGTCCAGTTTTATAGGATAGATAAACAGGGACGTACAAGGGGCGGCCGGTATTTCCGCCACCCCCCACCCCCCCTCTTTAGGGGGGGCACCCATATAAGAAATACTTAAAAACCTCACCTTTGCCCTTAGCTAAAAAAGTTTCATCAAAAAAGCTTTAATCAATACTGCTTTCAGTGTAAATATATCTTTGATTTCATTATTTATAATTATACAATATGTATCGTTTCTTTGAAAATATAGATGTTTTATAATAAACGTTTTCATCTCTATTTTTCACCCATTGAAGCTTACACCACAGTATTAAGAGGAAGTGTCTGATGAGTCCACTTAAGAAAATTGCATGAATAATTTATTAACACTTGTTATATGGAAGTGTGTACATGATTCAATAGTTTAAATAGTTTAAAAGGGCATCAATATTTTTTCAAAACAGGGTTTCTCAAGGGGGGGCACACAAATTGTCCCCCCCCCCTTCACAAATGCTCTCGTACGCCCCTGTAGATAAAGCACTTAAAGCAGATATTTTCAGCATTTAAACATGAAATTTATTAATGCATTTACTTTTTTGAATGTACATATATCAGCCAAATCCTTGAAAATAAATTCTTTATTAAAGTTTTAAACTATTACATAATTAATATCATATATTTTTGAACACGAAAAAAAACTTAAACTAACCCTGGTCTTAAAAGATAAAAGATTTGAAATAAGGAGGAAAATTAGAAGAGGAGTGAGAAGGCTCATTACCCCCTCCTGAGAACAAGAATGTCTAGAGATGGAATTTAATGAATTTGAGTCGCGGTTTAAATCTGCCAAAACCCGGTTTAAATTATGCGCCGGCTTAAATCTTAAAACATTTGATACAATTTTAAGTGGAACCAACCATATTGAAGCCGCGACTTGAATTTAAACCGCCGCTCAAATTCTTTAAATTCGGCCACAGGTCTAGTTATTAATTTTGTTTTATTTTGTTCTCTTTTTATTTAATTTGTCGCCGTATTTAGATACGTGGTGAAGCAGATAGAGGAGAAGCACAGCAAGGATCTGATTCTCCAGGTGGTTGACCTACTCAACAAGCTCGGCTGGAAACATGCTGCCAGGTCAGTTATATACCTGAATTAATTCTGGACGCTTCGTAATCCTTTATCAAATTTGAAAACACCTCAGATTGGTTCGTACGTTTTTAAATTCAAATCTGAATTTTGTCAATATCGACGGTTTTATATTTATCATATTTATTTCAATCTAATATTTATTTGTTTCAGTTTCTTGGAGAAAAGTATTCCTGCCAAGTTTCCTGTCGAGTATCAACCTTTCTAGAATATTTATTAATTTCATGACACTAGACAGGGGGGAATTTATTTAAACTATTTAAGAATTAATTTCAAAGCTTGGGGGGTTACAAAATTGGACTAATTTAAAGGCTTTTTTACCTTTTTAAAATTATTTTCTCAAAATTTCGATCCGAAAAGGATCAAATGAATTGTTTAGATAGCTAAAATATATTCTGACATGAGTAGGAATGTTTTTTCTATAATTTATACAGTATGCACCCCTGAATTTAGAATTGTAGTCAAATGTACACGGTGCATTATTGGTCTTTTTGTTTGATACAGTTCACATGTACATTTGTTACCAATTGTTTATCTAGCAGATTATATGTGTACATTTTTGAAAGTGGCGTTGAACGAAACTCACGAGTTTCTTGTTTGGGGTCTAAACATTTGAGTAGATTTTAATTTAAGAAATTAGAAAACAAATATAGAATGTGAAGAAACCACGTGAAATAATATTTCTTAACAAAAAAATTGGTATCTAAAAAAATGGCTGACTCCGTTCATAAAAACGGGTTTCGATACTTGGTTTCATTACGATACTAACTACACTAACTAAACAAATAAAGACTGCACAATTTTCCCGAGATTTACCACCGAGATTATAATTTCATTAAGAAAATCACTTTCTTCAAGTTTCTTTCTTATTTATGTCTACAGACCGATAAACACTTTTTTTAGCTCGAGACTTATAAATAAACTTGCTTACATGTCTCTTGAGACTGGTTAGTTCTTAATCAACTTGAGACTGGTTAGTTCTTAATCAACTTGAGACTGGTTAGTTCTTAATCAACTTGAGACTGGAAAATTATCTGTAAAGTTACTTTAGACCATATATTTGATTTATTTTGTATTGAACTCTGTACTCTGTAAATTGTACATCATAAAATATTCAGTGTACAGAGTACAGAGTACACAGTGACTGCATAAATATTCTGTTAATTACATTTCTATTTAAATTTTTTGTGATTAGTTATTCGTATTTTATGCTGAATTGATAACCTTCCAACTAAATACATGAAAGAGGAACTAACTCATCTGTTTCTTTTGTCTAATCCCGAATCGGTACACATCGATTTTAGTAGTGCTTCCGGATTTAATGGATCCTTAATATCTTGAAATTAAACAAATATCGGTCAGAACTCGCCTCATTTCCCGTTGATCTACAATACAAGGTTATTTATCGTTTAGGTTACTTTTTTAACGTCTTAATGAAACTTCAAGCATTTTTAATTTGTTTTCTGTTTAAAAAATTGAAATATTTATATCCTAAGGGAGAGAAAAGTTAATACGAACAAAAAAAAATTATTTTTAACGCGTTCGTTTTAGGTTCGTTTTAGGTTCGTTTTAGGTTCGTCTTAGGCTCGTTTAAGGCCCGTTTTAGGCTCGTCTCAGGCTCGTTTTAGACTCTTTTTTAAACTCTTTTTTTGACATTTTCTCACAGGGTCAAACATTTTTGTAACCTTTAAGTCCAAACCCCTCAAAAATAAACCAACATATTGAAGAGAAGGGAGATACAACTGACGCGGCCAGACCTACCATATGATTATACAATATACATGCTTTGCAGACGGGACTCCATTTGTATAAGAAATATTCAGAATAGGTTATTGTATACGCGGTATTTGTGCGGTATTTGTACATAAGACAAATATTTCTTATTCAAATGAAGTACCGTTTACAAAGCATTTATAATCATATGGTAGGGCGGATCTCCCCTTTATTTCATACTCCTTGGTCCCAATAGACATGTAAACTATTTTGAGCATGTATCTTTGTAAAAAATGTTTCATTTAGTATTTTGATGCCTACTAGAAGAGCTGTAATGCGTAGACAGATTGCTTAGTACTCTAAGTACAATTGTATTTCGTCACTTTTCATCTTGTAGAAATATTGCTATAGTAGACACGACCTTATAATAGCTTTTTAAATTAAGTATTAAAATGCTAATTTTTAACAAAGACGATCTGGAACTCGACATTTACTTACCATGTGTATTGGAACACTTTGTATCATGTTTCAGTCTAAAGTTGCTTAAAACAAGTAAATTTTGGAGAAAATTTTATTTATAAAAGCATATGCTGCAGACAAAGATCAATTTTAAGTTGGAAATGGATTCGTTTCTAAATCTAATGGATTGAGGATTAAGAACAGCAGTAAAGGTTAAATGAAAACTATTACCAAGAGTTGAGATTTGTAACAGTTAATGTAGAAACAACATTAGTTTGTCCTAACACCAATTACAGATTAATTAGGGCGTTAAATTGTTAGACAACTTAATAACTAACTAAATGGAAGTATCGGAGTGACAAATTCATTTTCTTCTTTTTTCATCCAACAATGTCGAAAAATTACCTAAATTCTTGAGAAATAAAAAGAAACAAAAATTAAACAAATTAATAAAACATCGAAATCAATGTTAGAAGATTTGGATCAAAACCAACGAGGTTATAGTTTATAGAGTGACGATGTACGCTAATCCTTTACTAATTGTATAGGCCATGAACTATACCGGGAGCGTACGGCATATTTGTTTATTATAAGGAGATTCTGGCCTAACCTATAGTATATCATTATTAGTATATAGTGGTAAGTGTACAGTACAGCTAACTGAGCACACAAGTAGGGATCTTTCATCCCCCCTGATCAAAACATTCTTTTTATAAAGTTTTTAACACATTTATTTCCAGGAACGAATTTTTTATGGAAGTCAAACATAAGCTTATTTCGTTAAATGATGCAGGAAAAAATGAACATTTTATTTTAAGATTTTTAACTTTTGATTTCGTCTGTTAAGGTTAACATCAAAAATACATAGTAAACAGTCCATGATTGATTTTTAAATGTTATTATTTGAGTTCTTTAAAACAATATTAAGTTACCCAACCTAAATATTTATTAAATTGGTAAATACGTAATAAATCCTTTATAAATTTGGAATAGATAAATTTACTTATTAAACAGTCTTTTTAAAACACTTATCAGTTTTTTGTTTACAACTAAGTTTTTTATGGAAAATCTTACATTAGCTTATTTTGCAGGAAAATGCGAGCATTTTTAGAAGATTTCGAACTTTTTATTTTCGTCTGTTTGTGGAAATATATATAAATATACATATAGATAAAATTAACATCAAGAATACAATATGTATAATTCGAGCTTGGTAGTTCACATCGAGCCTTGAAAATAACATTTAAGATACAGGGTTCCTCAAAAAAAATTTAATGAGAACCTGAAACTTGTTTATCTGAAATTTTAGCTTGATCTTCTCCAGTAAAAATGTAGAATTTAGAAAATGATTGAATAGTTTTTTTTACAGTCATTCTTTGTTTGTATCCGTATTCTCTTTAATATTTACAACATTGAACTGTTTTTGAATCGTAACAGTAAAAGTTTAACATTCAAACCAGGGTTAATAAAAACTGTGTAAAACACCGGTGTTAGAAGCAGTACAGTGATAATCAGAAAACATGGGAATAAGAAGACGACTTTGCAGAAATATTTAGGTGTATTTGATGTTAAAAAGAAAATAGTTTTACTAGACACTTATTAAATCACTTTTTTAGCGAAGTGTAAGTTTATAATGCAAGGAAAGTTGATTGCAGTTGCGTATACTCTGCGTACATATTGAAACCAGTTCTCTCTGGGCGGAATTTGTAAACAAGAATAGATGCATCAGTGTTCGTTTAGTATCCGAGAAGGTTAAAAGCATTAAATTTTTATAGTTTTAATAATTTACAAAATAATTTCGTATGAACAGAATATTTCATTGATTTTTTATTTGAAAGATGGATCCCATGTCAGGCTTCGACATCCGTCTTGTGATTACATTACCGCCCAGAGACAGTACACTGCAGTACAAAAGATGAGTATACCTCTGAAATAACTTTCCTTGCATTATAACCTTGGTGAAACGGGTCTGTTCCACCTGGACCATTGTTGTTTCTCATGCCTATTGGAATAAAGTTAAAACTTGATTTATAAAAGTCGACTTCCTATTCCAGAGTTTGCTGGTTATCACTGTAGCTAGTATTATAAGAAAATATTATCTTTAGCTAAATACAGCCGGTCTGATTTGGAAGGATTTTTCTGGAATATCTTCAATTGTATTACGTATATTTTTCATGTTTTTGAATTTGTAATGAAATCCTAAAAAACAATAAATAACAATTAGAGATTATATTGGAATAAAAAGTCGGCGCTAAGAGAAAAGAAAAGTTATAAAGAACGACATGTTATTAATTTGTAACAGATTTCTTTAGATTATCATTATCTTGAAGAAAATGGAAAACGTAAACAATTCAAGGTGAAGATTTTATGGCAATTTATCATAATTTCACTTTGTCATTTTGTTGAGGAAAATTGACAATTTAATATATAGATATTTTTTTAAGTTGAAGAAGTTTTGACGATATTTATAAAAGATTTCATAATTTTAAAAAATTATGACAATCTATCACAATTTCATTTTGTCATTTTTTTGAGGAAAATTGACAATTTAAGATATAGATATTTTTTATAGGTTGAAGAAATTTTGACGATTTTTATAAAAGATTTCATAATTTTTAAAAATTAAGACAATCTATCACAATTTCATTTTGTCATTTTTTTGAGGAAAATTGACATTTTAAGATATAGATATTTTTTATAGGTTGAAGAAATTTTGACGATTTTTATAAAAGATTTCATAATTTTTACAAATTAAACAATTTAACAAATAGGTTTCATAACATTCTATCATTATGTTGAGGGGAAAGTTAGACAATTTTCAAGAAAAAGACTAACATTTAGCTATAACATCATAAGGAAATATAGACAAGAGTTTTCATTATGTTCAATCTGAAGAATAAGAAAAAATTCATTAAAAATTTAAATAATGTTGAAAAAAATTGACAATTTTCAAAAAAAAAATTGTAACCCTTTATGTTGTGGAAAATAAGAAAATATAAGCTATAAAATTTCACAACATTTTATCATAATGTTGAGGAAAATTATACAATTTTTCACGGAAAAGATTTAACATTTTGTCATGATGTAGAAAATTCGACAACATTTGACCTTAATGTTGAGGAAAATTAGACAACATTTGTTTTAATGTTGAGGAAAATTAGACGACAATATGCCTTAATGTTGAGGAATATTAGACAACATTTGTCTTAATGTTGAGGAAAATTAGACAACATTGGTCTTAATGTTGAGGGAAATTAAACAACATTTTATAACATTTTAATATGATAATTTGGAAAAATAAAAATTATAAGAAGACAAAGGTTCAAAATGTTCGTTGTTTGAACACTTAAGACAATCCAAGAAAAATATTTCGGAACATTTTTTAAAAAATAGGCAATATGTATAATAAATATCACTTCATATTAAAGTGGAAGAAAAAAATAGAAAACAAGTTAAAAAAATAGCTTAAAGTTTTGCATACTTACGAACTTTTGTACAAAGGATCCATTTTGATTATTTAAATGCTTTAAGTTTTGCATAAAGAATACTTTATATTGCTCTGAGACAAGGTGGTTAAACTATCATATTGCAAAACAAGGTTGTAATCTACACAGGCAGTGTTTCATGCATTCCAGACCTTATACTTGTTGTTCTCACGAGCAGTTAAAAGTCTATAAATGCTGTATAAAAGTCTGCGGTTTCTTTTATATCAATTAAATAGAGAAATCATGGAGTGGAAGACGACAATTAATCGGAGATTTGTTTTCAAATTGGAAAAATTGTACATAATGCATGATCACTGGTTTTATAAGGCTGTAATTTAAGGACGGATTTAGATGTTTTGTGAGACTAGATTCTAGTATTTTCAGACACGTCGTCCACGTACAAGTGAACAGAACTTCGTTTCCGGCCGTCCTCTCGTCTCACCTCAAGTACGTTTCTTGTCCGTAGAGCTACTTCCGAGTCTTTCTCTAGACATTCTGAACTCTCTCCGTCCTCCGAGCTCTTGGATTGGTATCCGCTGACAGGAAGTGAGTCCAGCTCTGATAAATCTATTGATTTCCTAGCTGTAACCTGGACTTTATGCATGAGGACGATACTGTTAGTTCTCATTCTCCCATGCTCAACCCTGTACAGGTTCACTGTATCTTCATCACTTGAGTCATCCTTGTCATTCCCATCCGCAGAGGAGTTAGGTTCCATATTCTCCTGAGACTCTGTGTGCTGAGGCGGAGCTGGGATTACAAATATTGGAGAGGAAAAGGACGGGGTTTTCTGCAAGGATCGATCACAGCCTTGGATCTCTAGGATATCTGTTCTAGAGGTATCTCCGGAATCCTGGAATTCTGATTTATATGAAGCGTTGGAAACCTGATTCTCAACTTTATACTCGCTAATATTTCTTGTTCGGTTTAGAGAGTTATGACTGCTCTCAGATTCCGAGCTTTCAAAGTTCTCGTTGATTATACCTCTGCTCTCAATCTTGGATTGGGATTGCAGAAGGGATCGAGGGTGATCATAGAGATCCATCACCTCCTCGAACAATCCTTTCTCCTTCCCGTCTGCAGGACTGTTATCCTGGGATGGAACCAGGACAACATTACCATTTAGTTGTATACTTGGACACCGTTCCTTAACAGGAGGATTGGGTTGATCAGGGTACCCCATATGTCTTGCCAGAGATCCGGGAATCCAGAACGTATCTTCTAGATTTACTGGAGTTAATCTTCTCTCACGGAGTAAGGCGGAACGTGATGAGGCTCCCAGGTTAAGCGTACTGGATCGTCTTGTCTCCGGTCTCTTACTTCGACTTGGAGGAGCTTCTGAACTACGTCTTGAGGCTGGATTATTGTCTAGAACAGTTCTACTTCCTAGTTCGCATCTCATAGAATCTGAACCTTTCAAGGAGAAACTTTCTCTTTCTGGTCCGTCCCAGGTTCGAATTGACTTATTGTCCTCATTTTCGTCGAACCCCTCCCTGTTGTGAACTCCACCTAGATAAACAACCCCATTGGTCTGGTTGTAGGACGGAGCTGGATTCTTCTGGGTTCCGTTCTCCGGAGCAACTCTGTAGGATCTAACAGTTCCACGATCTCTCCCTAGACAACAGTTTCCCATTCTTCAGAACCGAACCTTCTCATTAAACCTCGTCATCTTACTCTGTATCAGGATTGGAACTGAACTTTTAGGATCTATGTTCAAGGATCCATTCACCGGGTTCTGAAGCTCCATGATATCCCAGATCCTGCTCTCTCCCTCAACCTGAAATACTGAGATGTATATCCTGAATCCTGGATACTGTGTCCGTTTTATCAATATTTACTTAATAGATTAGGGTCTAACATATACAGGTGTTGCATTTTAAATACAGGGTGAGCCCACAAACGGAATTGTGTATTTTTTCACTTTTAATCATGTTTTATTTTGTGAAAAAAGGTAGATTTTCAATGTAACTTTTTTATTCATATTCATTTTAGTTCATTGTGACAAAACCGTCCGTACATATCTAGATCTTACTTTCATTAAATAACAATACTTTGCAAAACATGTTGCAAATTTCAAAGTCAATTTTAAATGTATATTTGTTACAAAAAAATCCTAACAAAAAAGCGGTAGAAAAATATTGTTTGAAATGAAAAGAAGCTAAATTGTATATTTGTTATAAAAAAAATCCGAACATAAAAATGTTTTACCATGTTAAATGTTAGTTGGAGGTAGTTTCTAGGTCTACTGCAACCCTTAATCGATAGATGGATAGATAGATAGTTGGATAGATTAATAGTTAGACAGATAGATGGATAAAAATGACATTTGTATCTCATAGAAATAGATGAATGGTTGAAATAGAAACTAGATATATGTTTAAATTAGATTAGACAGATAAAAAGAATAGATAGAAAGACAGATAGATTGATAGCAAAATCATGCAAATCTGCATGACGGAGTCAGGTAGGAAGGACTAAGTTCACATGACTCATGAGTAATAATTTATTCAAAATACAATTACTTATTAATATAATTCAAGAGTAGAATAGGTACTGTATGGCATGATGTTATGGGGTGAACAAAATGATTTTTATTTTATTAAATCAAACTGTTTTGTGAAAAAGAACGGCTTGAATTAAAATTGTTAAACGCATTAATTAATACATTTAACAAAGCCTCCATTATTCTAAAATAATAAGCCAAGGCCAAGTGTTAAGTTTTGCTTTCCTTTTCCCGATCCTACGACCCCCCCCCCCCCCCCCNGGACGCATAAGCAATTTTGAACAGTCAACAGTTAGACAGAAGGAGAAGATCAAAGCTATGCGACATTTCTGGTACGACTTTGTGCCCTTGTAGGCTCTAAAGTTTTTATTTTACGCACAAATATATCCGTTTACATACTTAAAACATATTTATTCTTTAAAACTTATAAAATTTTAATGTTACGTGCAATGTTCTTTGTTTCTTAACATTTATTTCTAACTTTATTCTCCTACTCAAACATATTTCACGGTGTTTATAATCGTATATACTTAATATTTATATGAAATTTAAATAATATTTCCTAGTGAATTATTTTTTAATACACTAGCGGAAGTAACCGACATTGCCTCTCCTGTATTACCCATGGGGGGGGGGGGGGTAAATGTAACATTTTTTATTTTTGTTCTTTTATACGTTTAATTGTGTTTTAAAGAGAAACTTCTTGATATCGTCGTGAACCTGACATGCATTTCTATATATGGAGCAGGAAATTCACTGAAAGTACCTTTACTAAAGCATTCCTGTAAAAAAACAGAAAAAAGTGATGGTATAAAAAGTGATGGTATAAAAAGTGATGGTGTAAAAGTGATGGTGTAAAAAGTGATGGTATAAAAAGTGATGGTGTAAAAGTGATGGTATAAAAAGTGATGGTATAAAAAGTGATGGTGTAAAAGTGATGGTATAAAAAGTGATGGTATAAAAAGTGTTGGTGTAAAAAGTGATGGTATAAAAAGTGATGGTGTAAAAAGTGATGGTGTAAAAAGTGATGGTGTAAAAAGTGATGGTGTAAAAAGTGATGGTGTAAAAAGTGATGGTGTAAAAAGTGATGGTGTAAAAAGTGATGGTGTAAAAAGTGATGGTGTAAAAAGTGATGGTGTAAAAAGTGATGGTATAAAAAGTGATGGTGTAAAAAATTATTGTATAAAAAGAGATGGTGTAAAAAGTTCGGCGGGTTCAGTCATAGTTTGAAGTCACTGTCATTGTAAACTTTACGACTATTATTACTATTAAAGATTTATTCACACACATTAATATGCATAATACATATTCATATACATATTACATATTACAAATATTAATGGTGTAGTTTAAATCTGCTTTGTTTAAATATAGGAATGATTTTAGAAGTATTCACTCTCAAATCTCTAATTTCATAAACCTGCTATTTCAAAGAAATCTTGTAAGTCTTAACAATTTTTTATTCTTTTTATTTTAAAAAATATTTGATAAAAGATAATTACCAAATTGGACAAAATTATTTTAATAGTCTTACAGTATTCCGATTTTTTATACTTTGTGATTCTTGGGGCCCCGGGACCCTCCCCCCTGGGGGTGGAGGAGGGAGATCCCAGGGCCCCGGGACCCTCCCCCCTGGGGGTTGAGGAGGGGGATCCCAGGTTCCCGAAAAACCCAAGTGGGCTACATTGATTTTAAATATTTTCAAAATAATTGGTATTAAAAACAGTCTGTAACATTCCTCTTATCTATTCATTGGTTCAGAATTCTGCTTCTTTTTTAATTCTGTCTGATATTTCTGGGCGAACATATATATATGTATATATATAAATTATATGAGCGAAGATGATATTGATGTATCTCACCTTTTCTAAGGAGTAGAAGTCGAGAATATTTCAATAATTAATCATAATTATTAATAAATCGTTCAAGTTCTTTTAACTAAAGTATTTTCTAAAAATTAGATTTATCACTTTTCAAATTTTGATCAAATTTGAAGTTCTTGGTTCTGCTCTGCTTGACCTTGTTGTATTGTGGCACTTGACTGTTTTATCCTTACTAACTCCAGACCTGGAGTAATTTGATCCGTCCTAGGCTAACCTGGGATAGAAAGATACTTCGTAGGTTCATAGGTTTCATTCTCTTGATATTTCTTTCTCATAATCGGTTTTGAAAGAATTGGTACATTTCGATAAAACACTTAGGAACAGATTCTTTAGTTTGCATTAAGAATTATGTGGGTTACTGCCAAAACTACGAATGATTTTCTTTAAAAAAATTGGCTCAACTTATGGTGGGTAAAAATGGTGACTTTTTGATATTTTTTGCGGCGCCATATTATTACGAATCTCTCTATTAACTAAGTTTATATAATTCTCATGAATCATTTAAATTTGAATTGCAGAGGAAATAATAATATAATAAAGATTTCAAATAATAATGAATACATAACTAGATTTACACGAAGTTATGCTTGAAATTATAATTCAATTTCAGAAAGGGATCCCAATTTGCTGCTAAACAGAAAGATATTTTATATTATGTTATTAATGAAGCCCAGACATCTTCAAAAAAATAAAAAAATATTAATTCCTTCTAAATCACAGTTTGAATACATTTATTTATTGACCAAATTTGTAATGATTTGCCAAAATCTAAATATATTTATATTTGTGTATCTGTGTATCTGTGTATCTGTGTATCTGTGTATCTGTGTATCTGTGTATCTGTGTATATGTGTATCTGTGTATCTGTGTATCTGTGTATCTATGTATCTGTGTATCTGTGTATTTGTGTATCTATGTATCCGTGTATCTGTGTATCTATGTATCTGTGTATCTGTGTATCTGTGTATCTGTGTATCTGTGTATCTGAGTATCTGTGTATCTGTGTATCTGTGTATCTGTGTATCTGTGTATCTGTGTATCTGTGTATCTGTGTATCTGTGTATCTGTGTATCTATGTATCTGTGTATCTACTATCTACGAGGTTCAGCTGATAAAGATTATTATAAAGGAAACCCGCCCTGTAATTAACACCATTGGACGGATTCCCAATCTACCAGAATTAGAAATTAAACCTTGGTCAACCTATTTAACCCTCCTTTACCTGGGCACTAGAACTAGCAGCTCCCCCCTTTTTAAACTGCCCGTCCCCCCCCCCCTCCTCCTCTACTTACACTTCACTTTGACTCTTTCTCTTGCTGTCCAGTGTCCGTTCACCCTCCCCCCCTTTCTACCTTGACCCTTAATGTGACCCTTCTAGGGGCCTCCTCACCCCCCCTGCTCCTCCCTCTTAACCCTTCCAGATCCATCCTTTTCACACCTCCAACGTAATTTCTATAAATATCTTACTCCATCTTTAATCTCTCTATGTTGCAACCGCAAAGAATAAAAAAGTTTGTGGAAAACAAGTTAGTGTTTGGCACTAAAATATTCCTAAATTTAGAAGGTATTTTAACACTTTCTCAACACAAAATTAGCTCTTTCTAATCATGACACTTATAAATAAATAATAATAAAAGTTAATATTTTCCTAAACTCTTGTGTTTTTATGTCTAAATATTATTTTCAAGCAACTTTTTTATCAGAATTTCTAACACGATTCATCAAGTTCATTTGTGAAGATTCCTAAAAATTTTCGAAATGATTTCTTGTTTTTCATGTAATCCTGCCCCCCACTCCAAATATATATAGGCGATTTAAGGGAGGGGAGTAGAATTGATAAATTATTGACGTGCGGATTTTTTAATACAAAAACAATAAAGGGAAATGTCAGAATAAAACTGCACTTTTTAAACTAAAAAATCGAAAATATTTTCCACATTTATTATCAAATAAAAGTTTAAAGGGTATTATCAGAAATTGGACAGGACCCTCTCTTTAAATAGAGAGCTACACTTAAAATATAAATAAAGACCCAGACTTGAAAGTACATCCACAGTCATTGCAGTCTCTTTAAACCATTAATTTAATAATTTTTTGTTCCCCTTTATAAATTAATTACTTTCTTTATTACAACACCATGTTTACCGTTACAGATACCATACGGGAACGGACTTTTCGTATACAATTACAGGCTCCAAGATCTAATTCTAAGTGAATCAGAATCTGATTTTACAAAAAAATATTATAAATAAATTATTTGGTAAAAAAAAACAATAACACTTTATGGACAAATTCAGAGTGTAAAAGTCTAAAATATTCTAATAATCTTGTGAAATAATTACTGGTGTAAAAAAATGACAATTTGAATAATTAAAACATACATTTTTAATACTTAAAAATCACCGCAAAAGGACACTGTGAATAAAACTATTGATATTCTGAATCTTCTTACACCAAAATCTATCCGAATTTTGCAGAATTAATACTTTCAAAACTTTTATTAAGCGTCAGAAGTACTATATCCTGCATTAGAATTAAAAATTATAAGATAGCCAGGATTCTTTTGTTAAATGACCATGTGTGATGCAACTACTAATTAAAAAGGCGAGTGTATTTGTTCAATGTGTAGTTTTATTATTTGTAAATAAAAACAAATGTTCAACTTCTCTTTTGATCAACGTTTTGAACAATAATTACAACTATGTCTGTAATCAAAGGTGTCAAATTAATAAACTTATAAAAAAGCTCACACGCCAGGTTTATCATATCAATAGCTCACACGCCAGGTTTATCACATCAATAGCTCATACATCAGGTTTATCATATCAATAGCTCACACGCCAGATTAATCTTATCAATAGCTCACACGCCAGGTTTATCATATCAATAGCTCAAACGGCCAGGTTTATCATATCAATAGCTCACACGCCAGGTTTATCACATCAATAGCTCACACATCAGGTTTATCATATCAATAGCTCACACGCCAGGTGTATCACATCAATAGCTCACACGCCAGGTGTACCACATCAATAGCTCACACATCAGGTTTATTATATCAATAGCTCACACGCCAGGTTTATCATATCAAAAGCTCACACACCAGGTCTATAATATCAATAGCTCACACGACAGGTTTATCTTACCAATAGATCACACGCCAGGTTTATCATATCAATAGCTCACACGCCAGGTTTATCATATCAATAGCTCACACGACAGGTTTATCATATCAATAGCTCACACGCCAGATTTATCTTATCAATAGCTCACACGACAGGTTTATCTTACCAATAGCTCACACGCCAGGTTTATCATATCAATAGCTCTCACTCCAGATTTATCTTATCAATAGCTCACACGCCAGGTTTATCATATCAATAGCTCGCACGCCAGATTTATCATATCAATAGCTCACACCCCGGTTTATATAATCAATAGCTCGCACGCCAGATTTATCATATCAATAGCTCACACGCCAGGCTTATCATATCAATAGCTCACACGCCAGATTTATCATATCAATAGCTCCCACGCAAGGTTTATCACATCAATAGCTCACACGCCAGGTTTATCACATCAATAGCTCACACATCAGGTTTATCATATCAATAGCTCACACGACAGGTTTATCACATCAATAGCTCACACGCCAGTTTTATCATATCAATATATCACACGCAAGGTTTATCATGTCAATAGTTCACACGCCAGGTCTATCATATCAATAGCTCACACGACAGAGTTATCATATCAATAGCTCACACGGAGGGTTTATCACATCAATAGCTCACACGCCAGGTTATCATATCAATAGCTCACACGCCAGGTTTATCAAATAAATATTTCACACTCCAGGTCTATCATATCAATAGCTCACACGACAGGTTAATCATATCAATAGCTCACACGGAAGGTTTATCACATCAATAGCTCACACGCCAGGTTATCATATCAATAGCTCACACGCCAGGTTTATCAAATAAATAGTTCACACTCCAGGTTTATCATGCCAATAGCTCACAATTAAATCGTAGTCAATCCAATGCGCGTAGTTCTCAGCCATTAACAAACTTAATACATGATAATGATAAGGACTGATTGGTTTTACGTAGTTAAATTCATAAAAGTAATTAGGGTATAATGTTATCACGTAATAAGTATAGGGATGTTTAGGTTTACAAATATGGGGTTTACTACGATATTTATTACATGCCAATAGCTCACACGCCAGGTTTATCATGCCAATAGCTCACACGCCAGGTTTATCATGCCAATAGCTCACACGCCAGGTTTATCATGCCAATAGCTCACGGATATTTCCCCTATATTTTGTGCTCCTCCTCCCCCACATACAGTGAGACCCATTAAACTGTGGAAGAAGAAGACGAACATTTAGCAATTTTGTTGTGTTCTTGAGGTTGTTAAAAAGAAAATAATTTTGTCAGTATCTTGAAAATTAAACTTATTAAGTGAAATGGGTCTGTGTAAATTGGACAATTGCTGTGTATCATGTTTATTAGACTTTACAAAAAGTCGTCTTCCAATTCCACAGTTATTTTGGTCTCAATATGCCCATTGTTTCCACGCAAGGGCGTATACAGGGGGGGGGGCAGAGCCTCCATAGAACTCAGAGCTATCACACTTTTCAAAACTTAAAATGAAGAGTGAAGACTGAAGAACAGGACAAAAATAGTTCACTGTTTATAAGTTTGAGGGGAACCCCCCCCCCCACACCATAAAATGAATACATATTATTGCAGTGCTGTAACCTAATTTTCCCTTTTAAGTTCACAGAGTTTTGTTTGAAGGAGAGATATAGTAGTACTTAAGGAAGTAATTGCAAGATGATCGGACTGTAAGTGTACCTTTAAAGTATCTTATACTTATGCGACTTTTGCCTGTTATCCAAGAAGCTAAATGTTCTGCTCTATTCCCAGATTTACTGAGTTTAAAGTGTTTATTTCTGAAAATCGATTTCAAAATTATAGCATTGATATAATTAATCCTTGAGAAGAATTGGGCATTGCCATCTTTGCATGCATGAGTGTCACTTGAAATTAAGCTTACAGTCCCTTTAAATGTATTGTAACCCTCCCCTAGCTGCTTCAAGAAGAGTTTTTGTTTATTAAAATCTGTTTACGCAGTTTTGTTTGTCAC